CTTTATTTTCAAGGTGGCCTGAACAGAGTGTTTTAGGGCAGCAAACCCTGGTCTCAGGCCACCTTGACTTTAGCTTGAAAACCACAGCTTTGAAGCCTCATGCGCGCCATACCAGAACTGTAGCTACTTGTAGCTACCCTGGGTCCGTATAAATAGTATGTTGCTATACCTCTTACACACCTATACAAGTTCAACGCACGAATGAGACTTCAAGGCTGTGGATTGCTGTGCGTGTGTAGAGGTTCTCAAGCGGTTGACGGAAAGGGAACTTGAAGTACTATACCTGGTAGCTGCACTATAGCTACCCTAGGTCTCTCTACCTTGCAAGGTGCCACCTACACCTTTCCATTCAGATGATGCAAATGATGCATTTGGCATTTCTTGCATCACCACCCCTCAAACATCACCTCCAACACAACCTCAAAAAACCTTCCCTCGGAGCACCCTCCTCCCCCAGCATGTGCTGAGTTGACGTATACCTTTCTCGGGCCACCCCCCCAGACCCCCTAACTACTCACTTCGTTCGCCAGACACAACTCCGCTAGCGCCTTCTACGAAGGCTGGCTTTCGTAACATCTCAAAACGAATCCTGAAACCACAATGACTTCCAATGTTCGATCCTTTCCCTGCACATCTCCCCCCCCATTCTCAATCACTCCCTCCGCCCATCTCCGCCCATCGAGCGGCTCGCGGTACTCGGCGATCAAGATGTCGCAGACCGCGGGGAAGCGGTGCAGCCCCGCGTAGAGGCACACGTCACCGATCCTTTCGACCCGAGCGGCGGAGGCTGGCGGGGGCGGAGGACCGGAGCACGCCCAAGGACCGGAGGGTGGCAGATTGACCCCAAGCAGGTTGGGGATGGATTGGGTGTGGTGTTGAAGTTCAGGGGTCAATGTAGAGGTCGATACCAGCACCCAACAGGTCTCCGACATGGAGGGTATGTTATGTAGGCAGGTTTCAATTGGTGACCTGTTCGCCGTCGGTTGTCTATGCCAGTCCCCTGAGATTGCCTTGGGATTGTTGGAACGGGAGCTGACCAAGGAAAGACTCCGACGAACCAAAAACTGGAGAAAAACCACTAGCACGGAGACTTGGCGTGAAGACCAGCGTTCATGCAAAACTTGGTGGTGGCGGTGATTTTGCTGATGTGATGCTGGGACATGTACCTTCTTGGCAGTTAGGACAAATTAACTCAATAAATCTCAATAGCTGCACCAGGCAAATCAATCACTATAGCTTCACTGACCGCGTCCCAAGGTCCATGACGGTGGACTGACCGTCTTCACCTCCTTCAAATCCACCAGGCACTTCTCCTAAACGTCAGCGTATATGGCTGTGGATCCAAGCCCATAGTCCACTTCACCCTGCTACGTTGACCATGGTTGACCTCCGAAAGTAGTATGTTCTCTTCATTCTCCGTGGAGAACAAAAACAGGATCCCCCGCCAGGTCCCATGACATATATCAAGTCCTTTGAGACTTCAAATCCGCGATTGTTTAACCACGGCCCTGTTTTTTTTCACGCCAGGGCTCATCATCTGCACATCGTGGTTGGGCCAACTGATCATGAAAGGCACCAACTGGGCTAAGATCTCCAGGTTTTGTGCAGTGTTCACATAACCTGGGGTCTTCCAGGTGAGGCAAAACGTGCGGGTCACGTCACTGAGCTACGAGGAAACTTGGAGAGGCTCAGTGTAGTACAAGGGGTATGGTCAAATCATCCGAGTGCCTCCAAGCTATCCCAAATAATTTTTCCGTCTGCTTTGTTCAACTCCAAGTCTCTCCATTTGGATGTTTTTGGTACACAGGGAGACCGACGACTGTTCCGACCCCAGTCTGACTCATGAAGAAGAACTGCATGGACCATGGACCTTCCAGCCGCCTTTTTACGCTGATATGCCCTGAACAGTTGGATCCTCTTGTCTTTCAGTGATTGATCCTTTTTATTTTTTTCGACATCACTCGGTCCCATCATCAAAGGGATCTGGGCCAAGCGCATGAAAAATTTATCCTAAACCTGGGCAAGATGTGAACGAACAGCTTGTTGGAGATAGATTTTTCCAACATCATCTGCTTTGGAGCATCTCCAACAAGTTTCTTTGCACCAGCCACCCTCTGGAAAAAAGGTAGGAACCCCTATAGTAAGCTTGCAGTATTGCAAAACACATGACGACTCTGGTTTATTCGTGAGCCACTATGGTCAAGGCTACAACCTCTATCCAATCTCCAGGCGCATGGTCACAAGAAAAAACTAAACAACAACAACAACAACAACAACAACGACAAAAACAACAACAACGACAACAACAACAGCCACAACGACAACGACAACGACAACGACAACGACAACAACAACAGCAACGACAGCAACGACAACGACTAACGACAATGACAACAACAGCAACGACAGCAACAGCAACAACAACAACAACGCTGGGCTTTGAGGACCCCCCCCGTCAACCCGCGTTGAGCAGGACGAATGAAGCGGCGAATCGGTGCGGTCGAAGAAGCCGGTGAAGATCGGCTGCGTCCAGCAGTGCCAGAGGAACTTGGTCGAGACGTGCATGAACATGTCTGACAAGACCACCTGAAGACTTCTTCGGGCGATGCAATACACTGGTGGTTGATGCATGCCGAACGCGCATGCATGTATATCATATTGGCTTGGTCGCACACATTGTATGAGGACCAACAAAAAACAAATGTTTGGGGTTCCATTCCAGTTAGTCCAGCCAGGACACCCAAATGATCGGATGGTCCTGATAGGTGCCACCCATGATTTTGACCCATTTGTGTATGAGCGAGGAAGATCTGGTGCGAACCGGGCATGCGACCCAGCGATGTTGAGTGAAGAATTGCCACATGATCGCCCTGGACGCTCTGTGAGAGTAGCAAGTCATACACCCCGCGCCTGTGCATTTGCTACTTTCAACTCAAAACACGCCACATATTTATTATAGAACACACAAAATTGTACAAAACTGAACATGTGTTCACTGACTAGTTGTTTTGGTGTCGCTAAACCCTGGTCAGTCCAAACACAAAGGAGCAGGTTGGGCAGGGGCACTCCAGTTGTTGAGATTTCAATGTATCAGTTGGGATCCTGTGCAACCAAAAACTGAAACTGCTCCCATCCGATCAAAGAGGGATAATGCGCATCACCTCCGAGGAAGAGACTCCAAATGCAGAATCTTCCCCAAACTCTTCCCCAAACAGCTCCTCACCCCCTAAAATGTATCCATGCAACACCTTTCTTGGACGATGTCCTCAAGTTGAAGCCCTCTTCGACCCAAAGCCCACTCAGATTCCTCCATGTCTGTTGCCTTCATCTTCTTGTGCTGCTGAATTTGCTCGGCCAAAATCCTCGGCGCGCGGGTGGATCCTTCATCCGACGGATCTGCACCGAAGCACAGCGTCGAGTCTTGCCCCTGGAGGATTGGGATGGAAGAGACTCAACAGAAAGAGACCCCGGTTTTACATGGAGAAGCTCCAACAGTATAGGTGATCGTCCTCCAAAAATGCATCCCGTTTTGGGATGTGCTGCGGTTTTGCATGGGCTCTTCTCTATCTAGGCTATGTGACATGTATGTCTTCCGATAAAAACAACCATTTTGTGCAAACGCATTGATTGGTGTTCTTTGTGTCTATTGGGATGGAGTCTATGGAGTCTTTGGGCAGATGGAGTCCCAAAAGCGCAACAAGACTCTGCTGAAACAACATCGCAACAGGATCCCAGAACTCAAAAAACCACATGGTGAGTCTCGCGCGGACCCCTGAAACAGCTCTTCATCCAGCGTGGACAATCTTCTCACCCACTCTCTAGCATCTACCTTCGGCCCTTCACAAAGTTAATCTTACATCCCCAGTTCTAGCCGTTTTGGAAAGATCTCCAAAAAAAAACATCCAAGGTTCTCCTCAGAAGTTCATACACCTCCCACACATTTCCACCAACTCATGTCCCTGTCACCTTTGCCCTCCACCCTCGACTCGATTCACTCCATCTATATAATCTACTCTTCCCCCAAAACCTACCTCTCGTATCCGCTCGTATCCACCCCTCATCTTCGGTGGTCACCACACTTTTTGGGCCTAAATATGCCTATACCTACCTACCTACCTACCTAACCTACCTGCCTACCTACCTACCTACCTACCATAACATCCATAACCTACCTGCCTTTCCCATGGCCAACTGAGGCGCTTCAAGAAGTTCTGCAGCGTAAAGCGTTGGAACGCCTTGTGCAAGGCCTCCGCCACCTCTGCCCGGTGCGGCTCCGCCGTCGGCGGCGGCGGGAAGCGCCGGTCGTGGTCGTCGCCTGGCGGTCGGCGAGCGGCGCGCGCGTGGGAATGAAGCGAAGAAAGGGGGGTTTTAAGTTAGTTGGAGGTCATTGGAGCTCATCCATTTTTGGAGGTGCTGTGCAAGAACTGAGCTTGCATTATGGGGGGTTGTTGCTACATGTTGCTACCAGTCCAGTTTTGTTGTGAGATCAGGGTGGGCAAGAAAGTGAGAATGTGTGGCTTCTGATTTCGCGTCTCATGGGGACCCAACGTTCTGGGCTGTTGGCTCTTGGAGACCTTGGTCGATTCTTCGATTATCGAGGGTGTTCGTGCTTGTCCGGCTTCATCTGAGCAAACCTGTGATGCCACACCTTGAAGACATGTGCGAACAACATGTGTGGTGCTACCTCTCATGCAAATACCAATTTACACCAACTCAAAAGAAACATGGGCCTGCCAACCACAGGAACACGACGTGAGCATCTACGCTGGTGTCACTGCACCCTGCTGCTACTAGCAGGCACATCCAACCACCGTCGCCTGCAAAGGTGCCATAGGTCAACAGCTCGACGGCTGCGAAGTAGAGAAACCTCGGACAGAGGTGAGGATGGACGGGGTGCCCAAAACAACGAGGAAGCGAGTGCCACAGGGTGCGGCTGCGACATGAAATCCATCTGAAATCGAGGGTGAGATCCAGATCGGCAAGTGATGCAAATGAGATGTTCTGGAAAACATATCCGGGTTGCTCATAGTTGCTCGATATTGTTTGGGCGTGTATTAGGGATACCTCCTGGCCAGAAGGAAAACAGCAAACCAGCTCACCAATTGCGCCAGGTGGTCTCCCCCCATGAGCCTCCCTGTTGAAATGCACATTCATGGGAAATGGTCGGTCTATATGTCTAGCTGGTCTAGTTCATTCAAGAAATCTGGCGAGGAGGTTGGTCTTCGTAGAGTGGGAATCAGCCGAAAGGCTTTGATTAAGCCAACCATCTGCAGCCTCAGGCCCAGCAAAATCAGCAAAGGCATCGAATTCCATCTTCGGCTCACGACTGACTTACTTTGGTGCATCCAAAACAATCCCCATAGGGATCCACATACCCTCTGAGGTGCGGTGATGTGTTCGACACTGTTCGACCTGTAAGTTTGGAAGGCTCGTCTCGTCGTCCCGAACCGGTTCGGTATACCTCCTGGATGCCTCGAAACGGATCGATCCACTCCTGTCTGAAGATGTGGATCTGCCGTTCGAACGATCCCATGAACCCTATTGATGCCTCTGGAATGAAGCAATATATGATTCATGAGGTGATGCGCGATGCGCTGGCTGAACAATTCGTTGCATGCCAGGTGAAGCTGACCGACCGTTCACCCACCAAACGGCGAAGCTATGCAAAGCTGAAACAAAAACAGATGGTGGCCGGATTGAACCCTTTGAGGGATCCTAAGGGGCTATTCATGGACACCCGGTGACCTCCGTGGTGCTCAAAATCCACACCTTGGCCCTGCCGAGAGGCTCTTGTTGCCCGCGGCGTTCTTCCACTTCCTCGGATGAAAAACCCGTGGAAGTACTTGGATGTTCTGAAAGGAGATCAGAACAGATCGGTTTGTTGAAAGTCGACTTCAGTATGGGGAATAAACAAAATCATAGCAGTCATAGCACAATATAGCACAGTTGGCTTTAGGTGTCCAAGGGTACGAGGGAAAGCTAAGGATTCTTTTTGTCAATCCATTCTATTACAATCTGCAGTTCCAACACTAGGTCGCTAGGACATTCGAACGAACGAGGAAATGACATGAAAGGACGCAAACAACAATAACATACTCCGAGCCACGATCAACAGCTCAACCTTCCAAGTTGACCCACCAGACCCCCTCTGCTCTCTTCCCCCCGCCCCTCTTCCCCTCAACTCCTCCACCTGACGGCAGCCACCCGCCAGCCTGAACACCAGCCCAGCCGGCCCCGATCGAATTCCATCTCAAGGTGCTGAGAGCTTGCGCGAGGCCGTGCCGGTCGTGTTCATGGTGACCTCCCCCCGGACTCCAGCCGCTGGATGCGTGCCCTTGCGGCGGCTCCTGACGTGGGAGGGTGAGTGAGTGATGGAGGCTCCGATGGAGGCCACCATAGGTATGGTGAGGTATATGGTGAGGCTCCTTCCTCTAGGCCCTCATAAGAGAGGCTCCTCTTTATAGGCTTTTTCGGTATATGGTGAGGTTCAGATGTCAAGGAGCAGGGTCTTCAGGATGCATAAGACCAGAAGAAAGCTTTGTGAGGTTGAAGGAGCTTCGAAAGCGTCGATCCGTGTTCAATGGGGTCATAAGGGTACGAACCTATCAGGACCCTTTGACTTGGTAGGAAAGATTATGTCATGTCTATCCTGGCTGGACGGGGATCAGGTGATTTGTTCTATTTTTTTTCCCAATATTGGGTATAATATGGGTATATAGATGCCCTTCTGGGAAATATGTTCTATCATTTTTTCAGGTTCCTTAAGCAAAATGTGGAAGCTCTGGATGTGTTCAAAGAGTAGATGCCAAGGCAGTAGATCCCTGACTCAACTAAAATACTCCATGATTCCATGCAGTATCTCTGTACTTTGCTGGCGCACGACTGCACATTCCTTGAACATTGTTGGGCTCAACCCCCTTGATTTATCCTAGCAACATGCAAAACATCAAGACCAAGTGGAATAAGGCGGGACTATTGGACTTTTAAACAAGAAGATCAATGGACATGTTCATCCTGGTCGGAATTCACTATTCACCATGTCCATCTGTTGTCTTTTTTCACTCCCTTGGCGAGAGAAGAAATCCTCAAACCCAAGACCCTCATCAAATCGTTCCCCAAAACCGATCTCTTTGCGCTCCAATGTTCCGCCAAAACAGGCCTCTCTTCCCATCAACATCCCCACACATGTCATGGTTTGCCCAGTCCAATGGACCAAACAACAGCACTTCTGCCAAGGTTCCTCTGATACAAGCTCGCTGTTTTTCCCAGGCCCCGGGCTGCAGGGGATCCTGCCACGTTTCACGTTGGTACCGTAAGACTGGACGTTTCCACTGGACGCAGTCCAAGGGATGGCAAGCTGCAGAGTCCGTACAAGGCCGGCGAAGGGATTTCTTGACGCTTTGCTTAGTAAGGCGGATCAATCCCGAAAGGAACACCAATGAGCAAAAGGAGACGAAAGAACATCCTGTCTTACACACACAAACTTGATGACATAGGCCACGCCAGCGCTATGCCATACGAACATCCTGTCTTGGGAGTCCTGTCTGGAGACCTGTAGTGTAGGGGAGCCTGTTGGGGCACATTATTGGATGGTCCTGCAATTCAACCCATTGATAGTGACCCCCAAGCCTCCTTTGCCTCATGGAAACGTACAGTGCTTGCTTTCCACTTCCATATCTTTCAACGGTGCGGTCGCACCTCTAGTAAGAACTGAAGAACACCATACAACCAACAATTTTTCGAAAGCCAGCCCACCATTGAACCAACCATCCTCCCACACCTCTAGTAAGACCATCTAATGACTCACCATCCAACCTCACCCAATTCAAACCCCTGTCCCTATGTCACTCCTGGGAAAGACCCACCATGAAAGACCACGAAAAACAAGAACACATCAAGAAAACACCATCCAATCCAACCATTCCAACCCGTCGCTCGCTCCTGGGATGGCCAGCAACTTCTTGTACGCTTCCGTCTGCTTCTTCGGCGCGTTGGCGATCGCCTCGGAGTGCTCCATGAGCGCATCGTAGCGCTCCGCGCGCTGGGCCTCCTCCTCGGTGATGAGGCCGTACCTGTGAGGCGTTCGGCGTTCGAGGCGTTGCGGTACGATCGGTGTTTTGGGGCCTGGACCCGACTGACCCAGTACCGAAAATGGGAACATTACCTCATAAAGAACAGGTATATATGTGTACCCATGTTCGAAGGTTGTTTTGTGTGTTTGAGTTTGTTGCGCGGAGGTCATTGTTGTTGTTGTTGTTGTTGTTGTTGTTGTTGTTGTTGTTGTTTGCTTTTCAAGTGTTGGTTTTGTTGTTATTGTTCCTGGTGGAGGGAAAAAAACAATCCTCGTTATCCTCTTCGCCAGCGTCAAACGCTTTGCGGCCTGACACACAACGTGCAACAAAGTATGAGTTAAAGGGAACTAAACATTGGTGTTCTCACAGATTGTGCAGTTGGAGGGGTGGTTTTGCTCCGCTTGAGATGATGGCTGTTGGTGAATTTCTAGATCAACCTATTACAGGATTTGTTGTATATATTCTCAACATCACTTGTGGTGCACTTTCGGCAAAAAAGGCTACAAAGGCAAACAGTTGGGGGGGAATCGTGTTTTTATATGAAGGTCAACCTACACGGACCAGGGCTCCAGGTCGAACAACCCATGCGCATTTAGTGGTTGGTCAAAGTCCGTTTGGTATGGCCGCGATAGTTCGAGACAAATATCAATGACAAACACACCTGGGGAGTTCCTAAATCCAAACGAATGGGACTAGAACATTCCGTGTACATGACCCATCCATCTAAGTAACTGTTCCAGTCCCATGGATGGTCTGGGAAAGCACAGTGAAGAAATTCAGCCAGATTCGCATCGAGTCAGTGACTCCAGGAGCCATCAATCCAGCCGTCAGTCCGGACAGCTTCTGTGCACGAGATGATCGAAAAACTAAACCCAACCTGTTTGAAAACGTATAGATTTGAGTACACCCAAACGCTCCAAACAGCCCTGACGCTCCCTGAAAACCTATAGACCCCGGACCCCTCCAAAGGATTCGAGTCTGTTCTCTCCATAGGTTCAGGTCCAGCGTCACGCCTGGGCAGGGACATTCCACAGAATTCAATTGACATCATCCAACATGTCTCCTTGTTCGGTCGGGGACGCGCCCCAACAAGGTCGAATCATTGGTCACTTGTGCGTGAAGCCGGATGCTGCTAGGGAAAAGCATATCATCTCGAAGGATCCAACAAAGCCCCTTGACCCCTGGACCAGCGACATAGGCCAAGATACATGCTACTCTCGTACTTGTTTTCCTCCTCCAAATCCACCACACATGCCGTGGCCTCGTGCCGATGCTGAGCAGAACTAGTGTTGCCACACCAGATTAGACTGGGAGAATGAGACACAATAATCCCTAGGGCTCCAACCACCTCCTGAGAAGATGGTTGGGGTGGGTTTGGGGGGTCTAACCACCTCCTGAGGATATGGTTGGAGCCCTAGGGAATAAAAACACACCCCAAAGCCGACGGCAAAAACCGCCCAAAAACGCCACATCCTGAGGTGTGTTTCACCCGGTGAATTCACACGAGTGACATCGATACCTCCATTGCTACACTGAAAACGCCCGGTGAAGCTGAAGGCGCACACGGTGCACAACGGCGGAGTCTTTGAAGATGAGACTCGCTGAAGATGCACTCGCAAGTGGATATGATGAAAATGGACCTCTGTAAGACTAGTCTCATCTGCCAGTTTTCAGGGGTCCATGTTCATCTGGAGGGCATCCCATCCAACATGCTCAAATCCAGGTTGAACCCAGGGGCACCCACCCAGCCCAAGTACCAGTAGCGAGTTTCAAAGACGAAGGCAAATTAGGAGACTATTTAGGAGCCATACAAAGGGAATCGAATGTTCATCCATCTGTCCAAGGCTCCAAGCTATGGTTAAGGGTTAATAAGCTCAGGGATAGCACCAGCTTTGATGGCTTGAACTCCGGATTGGATTCTGCACAGAGGCTGAGTCGTTTCATGCGGTTTCTACTTTTTGCATGTACATTTTACCCAAACATGCAACAGTGTTGGGAAGTGTGCACATGCGGAGGCGCCAGGATTAAACAAAAATCAAATGAAGGTTCCAAAAGCACCCTTAGTATCCCCTCATGTCCAGGTAGCAAACAAGGAACACATCAGCTGTCGTCTATCAGGAGACGAGGGCCCACCGCTGAGGGTCTGCCTTCCCACGTGCCTGTTGATACATACATCGCACCATCAACTCCAGCAACTGAGCATTGCCATACATGGCCTCGCGAACCTCAGAGTCCAGATCTAGGGCTTTTTCTCCTGATGGGGAAAACATGAGCTTTTGCATCTGGCCAGACCACTGCAGAAATTGCAGGTCAACCGTACCGAACTGCTTAAGACCTTTGAGTCAAAGACCTTCGGACAGTCAATTGGAGGTCACCGGTCCGGGTTGTTGGGGGTTTGTGGGTGGAGATATAGACCGGTAGACATCACCTAGATCTTTCAAGGATGCGAAATGTATGCCTTCCAGCTGGTTTTAAAGGTGAAAAGGCATAAAATTGGAATAGTTGGAAGATCTAGGTATATCCTAGAACTTAGCTTGAAAGTGTGTCTCCTGAGCCAAGATCAATCCCTTGTAGGTGCTAGATTTTCCTTCTATCAGCATCCTGCAAGAGGTCTTCGCTCAAGAGTTTGCAGACTTAAACTGCTTGGTGATTGACGGTTTCAACCCAATTAGGATTCATCCTTCCAGGTCGTATTTGAAGCCACCAAACCAGTATATGTCCACTCTTCACCCATCCCCAAGACCCACAGGAATTGCTTCTCCAAAGATGTCAACATAACAAGTCCCCAATTCCTACACCCTATGGATCCACATACCGAACCTCAGAAGGCAATTGGACCCTCCTGGCGCCTACATAAATAGTCTCCAATCACCTTCTCAGAAGGTATGTGGATCCATAGGGACAGTTGACTGCATGACAGCTTCTTGTCAGAAATAACTCAATGTGCAGTGTTTGAACCACGCGATGGGTCTTCGCAGGGCCTGACTTAAATAAAACCTTCTTGACTTCTTGACTTCTCCTCTTACACCAGGGAAAATGAACCTGGAACCTGAAAGTAGACCATTGGCAGACTAATTAGTTTCCTCTACAACCAAGTGGTTTTCAGGTTCTATCTTAATCTTCCAGGTGTACTTTGAATGAATGCAGAGCTTTCAAACTTTCCCTCGCTTTGTCCCCCTCCCCCGCTGTGGAGATCCATCAACAAGTCTTCACTTCAAAACGTTCCGCATTATGGAACGTCCTTTCGATCCACCCTCTCCACCCGGCTGTGAACGGGCAATTCCTTCCGATGGGGTGAAAGCCAGAAACAGCGAAGCTTCCCCCAACCTCTACACCCACCACCATTCTGACCTCCGCGCACCTCTACGACCACCAACCTCTCCACCGATCCTGTCGCGTCTGGCGCCGTCCCAAGTGGCGCGATTGATCTCGCAGCCTTCACCTCAGCTGCGGGAAACGGCCAACGGCCCGAGGACGACGGGAGGTCCCAATAAAAGAGAGGTTATGTACCAGGTTTTGGGAGGGGTCAAGAGAAGGTTGATGAAGTCTGTGGGGGGGTGAGCGCTTTTTCTTTCAGATTCTTTGACACACGTGTCTAAATGGACTCATGTCCCAAAAACCTGGCACTTTGGACCCATTCTTTAGCCGCTCTCGACTGCACTACTGGGTCTTTGCACTACTCGACTGCACCGCCTGCTTTTCACGACCACAAGCCTCGGATCTCAGTTCGCGGCGCGTAAGAGGTATCCGGAATTCACCGGTGGACCTGTAAAACATCACACTGAATTCTTACACGTATTTTTTAGAAGGATCCCATGAATGATATGGATATCATTTCATTGATATCATGTGTCTTTTCATGAACATGTACGTTGGATTTTTCATGCTCACGTTTATGGGTCCCCAACAAAAGTCCCAAGCACCTGTACCTTAAAGGAGTCCAGGGACTGACGTGTACCTCAAAATGGGTGAGCTTGGAGGGTTCCTCGGTTCCTCCCTGGTGAACAGCTGCAGTGCTTTGAGCCGTACTGGACAGTTCGGTTGATTTCTCTAATTTCTATTGGCAACTGAGCGGCTCTAAAAACCTATGGCATCTGCCCATGTAGCAAGAGTCGCTCGTAAGTTCTCTCATCTATTTTCGGGAAGCACATTTCTTTCCAAAGTGGACATGAGCGAAAGTACTGTTGAATGTAGACTTTTGATCAACAAAACACCCCCTACAAGTATGCATTTGGATTGTAAGACCTCTTCACATGATGTTTTATGATATAATCAAGTGGTATCAAATGTCAACATTCTTCCCAACTGGAAAGTACTCTCCCTTTTGCCCTTTCGGTTGATCATCCGACTATCACGCTGTTCTCGTCTCACATCTCCATCCGTCTCGTCGCGGACGGGACTGATGTCTGTGCAAGGGACTGATGTAGAGAATCACGGCCATGAAGAAAGGCAAGTCAGCTTCCTGCCGCGGCCGTTTCCGGCGCCGAAAAGGATCCCAAAAGGATCCCAAAAGGAAGGATCCTGGGGGCTTGTGGCAGCAGTGATGCATACAGCACCACCACTGCAGGCAGCGAGCTGGCTAAGGTTAAATGATCCCAAGAACTTAAGAGCTTTCCCCTTCACCCACATCATCCAAGAAGTCGCAGGAGAAACATCAATGTGAACGCCGAAAAACCTCTGGAGACTCATGGTGCGTGGAAGATATGAGGACCTTATGATGATTCCACCACCAGCTTGTTTGGTTCTTTTTCTGGCTTGGTTCTTCTCATTCCGTTCAGCCAGACCTACGAGCTGAAATGTCTGCTGCAATTCGTCCCTTCAGTTTTTAGTCATTCGGAACAGTCGCGCATGCTCAACTCTCCCTTCGTTCGATTGGCACCGGGCACTGGACAAAACAAAAAAACATCGGAGAACGTTCCATCGCCTCGATGCAGGAGACCAAGTTGATGATGTTGAGCATATCATCCTCATGCAGCTCCTCGCGGCCCATTTGTTTCGTGTGCCTCCGGAGTACGGAGCTATTTGTTGTTTCCCGGCAAGGAGGGAGTATCGGTTTCTACGGGATAAAAGTCCATGTTGCTGCCATGGCCAAAGTTGGGAATTAGAATCATTCCCTAAGTAGAGAGAACAAAGGAAGAACAAGTCCAGATCACCAATCAGAAACGAAAGATTGGACAAGATTCGAGCAAATGTGGAGTTCCCAAATGTATTTTCCTGTTTGCCTTCACCGATTGACATCCAAAGAATAACGAGATTGGGGATGGAATGCTTGTCTATGTGATACTTTTCATGACGTGGAGTATACAAGAGATGGTAAGAGTTCAATCCTAAAGGCAAACAAAGAGCATCCTGTTCAATTCTATCGTTTAGACCACTTCGTCCTGTGTCACTTGATCGAACAAACTAGCACCATGTGGAAGAGGAACATCACTGACTTTCTGAAAGCTTTCGAGGCTGAAGTTGGACCGCCAAACATGTAGATATACCCCAGCAACCACAAAGGGACGAAACATTCAAACCCCTTGACCACATACACTTCCTCCCCACAAACAAAAATCAATGTTGACATTCCCGGAGACTAGGGTCAAATGGACGAAACTGACGATCAAACCCCAAGGGTTTTAAAGGTACCAAACAAACATGTTGAACTTGTAACATTGAGATATGGGGTTTGCGGTTCATGGAGACAACATGATGTGCTGGGGTTTGATTATTTTGTCCATCTACTGAAGGTCCCTTGACTATATCATCCAAATATGCTAGGGAATGAAATTTCAATTACCAGTAGGATGGTCCCCTTCACATCTCAGATACTTCAGCACCTCTCAGGATCCAAAGATATCCAAAGCTACCTGATTCTCCGACTCCTCAGCTCCGAAACTCGGTTGGAACTCCTTCTGCACGTTGGAGGAGTTCCAAAGGCAGTTGCGCACCGCGGCCAACAACAAGCGCCGCACCAGGCGCCGTTGCTTCTCATCGCCACCTCGTCGTGGCGGAGGTGGAGAGATGCCATGGGAACTCCGTTGCGCATCTTAGTTGAGTGAAGTTGAGTGTGTGGTTTAGGTCTCGATGAGTCAATGGAAGTGTGTGGTTTAGCTCGTGCCTTTGTTGACTCTTAATTTGTCATCTGAATTCAACATGTTTGTTTGTCATCATTGAGGGAAGAAACAAGGCGCACGGGTCCCCCGTAGTTCACTATAGTTCACACCACAGCTGGCACTGGATGCTCCAAATCTCTGGCTAGGGCATAGCCATGCTGCCCAACGCCGCGACCCGCGACAGACTTCTTGCGGGTGAGCCATCGAAGCCGAAAAGCGGCTCCGTCAGTGATGACTTCACTTCCACAAAGCGCCAGAGTCGTCCGTCTGTTCGACGCGCAACAGCAGGTGAAATCCACCCTCACCTCGCCGCAAGTCCCACATCGTTGGCCAGCTGACATTGACATGTCCATGATGCCCCAAACTGAGCAGCTCGCCTGCGCGAGCTGCACGTTACTCTGCCTTTAGTCCGAAGAAGACATGTCTTCTTCCTCGGACGTTCCTTTGGCCCTGGCGGGATGGATTTTCATGACAGCTGAAGAACTCATCGAAGGAAGTGATCTTCGGGCTTGGCTTCTGGAAACGAAGAACGCTTGGCTTGGCGTCTTGTGTTCAGAACGGTCACTGCCCAAAAGGCGGGCCCTTGGCACAGCTTCATTCTTTGTGAGCCCGGATCCTCTTGATATCAACAAACTGCTATATGCAAAATAGGGTCTGGGGAATTCCAACTTGCCCAGGACTCAATCCGCAAAAATCGCTTGCCAAACAGTTCATCTCTCCAATTTTTTCCACATCTTGGTGTCCAGCGAGTGTTCAAGCGGGATGCCACTGATCGCTAATCACTCCGCGCACCCAACGTTGCTTGTTGACTCGAAGGTGGCGATGTCACAGCTATGATGAAGCCGGGATCCAAGTCAGTTTGCCCGGATCACCCAAAATTGATGAACAAAGAGAACAAGTGCTGCAACTCTGTTTTTCAATACCAAATTCCACCTTCACAAGGCTCCGCTGCCCCATCGAACAAGTCGGCTAAGTGGGCCCCTCAGCTCAACCTCATCCAACCTCCTTTTGCCAAACCAATTGAAAACAACACTTCCTTCAGCAACACCCACCGAACGTTGCATCCACGCACCGGACCCCACCCGCGGACGCCGCGCGCGTGGCGCGCTGGGCGTCCCGGGCGGTGGAGCGTGGCGCCCGGGCCCAGCTGTCGATAGGCTTCGCAGATCGTGGAGAGGTGCCCCGGACAGGTCAACAGCGCCGAACTGCGGAGCATACCTACCGTGTGGCGGGTTTCGGTGGTCACCGGGGGGGGGTTCGGGGGGGGGGGGGGGGGTGCGGTTTGTTTTGGGTGGATGGAGTGGGTGTGAAGGGATGCACAATATATGGAAACCATGGTCCTGGTTTTCACATGTGTCTCGATTCACTAGAGGCCAAACACCATAAGGGCGATGGTGGTTGATCCATGTTGGTCCTAACAGGGAGATAAACTCTTTAGAGTTCGGGGTTCCTGCATAGCGACCCTGGTTGTGTGATCCGTGCATGAAATCCATGGAATTGTGCAGTGAGTTCAAGAGCATTGGATCTTTTCATATCTTTTCCCAAACAAGGGCAGGACTTGGGTATACCGTCCCATTACCAGAGTCGATGATGATGACTAGTCAGTCCTTTCCCCCAAACAAAATATTGTCTTTTGCCAACTGCTGCCACCCTTGGATCATCTGATGCACCTCTTTTGTGTGAGGTGACTCATGCATTGAGCGAGGCCAAGAAGCAAGAACTAATGTAGACTCCTGATTAATAACCTCCCCCTATTTGAATTAGAAATCCTTTTCATATGGGCGGTTATTAATCAAGAGTTTACATTATAACGATTTGACCTTGTTCCACCAACCAGCATTCCATTGACCACAAGTCATGGCCTCCTCTCCCCTAGCCAAAAACCGTCAAAGGCTAGCCATCTACGTACCACTATAGTGTGCAGTCACGTTTGCACCCAAACGAAACAAAACAATCCACACCGAATCTGGCTCGGATTGAGAAAAGCGATATGCTTTCAACAAAAAAGAAACAAGTGCCCTTTGGTGACTGGAACATGACCTGAGGTAGAAAAGAGAGTGCAACTGATGACTGCCAGACTCCCATTCCATCGATGGGTCGTCTCAACACCAGCAAGGCATTTGGAGGAGTCAAGGTCAAATCATGCTTCAGAAAAGGACAAAAAACGCCTAGGATGCTGGGACCATCTATCTGGGGCTTCATATTCAAATCACCACATAATGATGATAATAACATATAATAATTGATAATCTCCTCAAATAAATTAGCAAATAGACAATGGAACGGTTGAACCATCACAATGTTCCCGCCACCATTGACATGAAATGTTACATCTTCGTGAGTTGCCAAAAGTTCATGCCAAGGCCAGGACAGGTCAAAAACAACAAAAAACTGGCAGAATTCCTTCTATGTCTACCTAGACCATCCAATGGAGACCCCGAAGTAGTGTAGGGTAGTCCAGCCAGGACACCCGACACCCATTGGATGATCCTGGTCTGGTCTGATCCAACACCAGAATGTCCTTCCTTTCCGGCTAAGCGGTTTTCTCCCAGGGACTGATGTTGTGCACGATCACCACACTATAGCGGCAGAGATGTGTCTCCTGAGAAGCGTTTGCGCTGAGAGGACTGGATGCTGAAGACAGGACTCGACACCGAACACTCAGGACTGTCAGTTTGAGGAGAAGTAGCACAACCACACCGCACCTATTTATATTTGCAGCGTGGCGCTTCCAACAAAAATACGGTCGAAGCCCTGGGGAGAAGCAAACAAATTATACAAATTCAGTCCAGCAACTAAACCGTTGCTAGTGGCTCATACCTCCTCCCAATAGCTGTCTAGTCCACTGGTCAAAGTAATAGCAGCACTAGCACCCGCGTCACCTGGCTGCAAAGTGACATCTACATTAGATGCGGAAATTGTAGATCGGGACCGATCGGCGATCGGGATTGTTCAAAACTTCTTAACTAAAAGAGGTAGCTTTGTCGCTTGCAACTTCACCCTGTGAACTGTGGCTGCCGGACCCACTACCCTTGGTCAGAATCCATTGAAGCTTCCATGTACTGCTCGGGGGTGTCAAACCGTGGATTTGGTATCTTGTGAAGGTTAACTCAGGTGGCCAATACTAAAGATCATGATACAATCCTTGTTGGACGGTGTGCTTGCCCTGGTATGCCCTGGTCTCAGCACTGCTCCCAACTTGATGCATCATGAACCAAGCGAGGGACGACTCCATCCGTCAAATGTCACCGTCGTCTGCTTTGACCAAGTGACCAAGAGGTGCTCCACCACAAAGCGCAAGGCTTCCTGGGACGACATGGATGATACATAGAGGCTGGGGTCCAATGGGTGTGTAGCTCTCAGTTCGACCTCCCAGTTCGACCCTTCTGGAGGAAGGAAAAGAGACCAGAACCCGGTGGGGTGAGTCCAAGAGTCCTATTCAAGTACACCCCTCAAATAGTTAAGAGGGTGGACCACGTTTCCTCCACAAACCAAGCAAAACGAAAAGGTCTATAGTCTGTAGTCTATAATATATAGTTGTTCACAAATAATATAGTCATGTGACATGTGTATCAAGGTTCCTACTTTATGTCAAGGTATTCTCTTCCAAACAGGACAAACCAAGTTCAACTAAATATACTAACCTTTCGTGGTGATGATCTACCTTTGGGTCACCAAAGGCCTGGTAACATATAATGTGACATAATTGCATCAACATGAGGCTACATGAGGCCGGCCGGCCGCCGTGGGACTCTTCTTAGCCCTTTAGGGATGTCATCCGATTTCATCTTCCTCACCACAAAGCCATCTACTTCGTGCTGATTTCGAGTCATGATCTACTCAACCTGAAAGCTTCCTATGCTGGTTCAAAACATGGAGGACATGGCTGGATCAGCCCTTAACCAACATGGACGTGTGGAAAACCACGAAATCCAGTGTGCTGATTGAAATGCCTGACCAACATCAGTGAAGGTATCATGTTTTCACCTCTTTGCTTTTCACTGTCCAGTCACTGTCCACCTCTTTGGGGAACAAATAAAACAAACCACTTGGACCTTCCACGTAGTCACTAATCATGTTTGTCCCCATCTCCTTTTGGTGGGTGACGTGGACCCTTTTCAATGTTTGGGACCCCCCTGTGTGTCATGCTTTCCACCCGTTTCTTTTTGAGGGGGGAAATCCATCATAGGTCACTGAGCCTTTTCAGACCACACAGTTCTGCCGCTGGACGCTGCGCGCCCGCCCGCCCAACGGCCCCGAGCGTCGGTGTCGCCCACCAAGTCATCCAAGGCCTTCGGTCGGCGACTCCAACCTGGCCCGGTTCGGACCCGTCGGGCGGTGAGAATCCTGGGATGACCGATGTCCGACCCCGTTGGGAAGAGCGACTCTTTGGGTCGTTGCCAGGTGCGTAGCAAACATGAACCGAAGGTGAAGGGGTTCTTCGGTGACCTTGGACTTGCGTCCTGCCTGTTCAGAGAGGCTTGGAAACTGGTGGAGAAGGGATTGCTTGACTAGAGTGATTGTGACTTTTTGGGAACAGGGTCTATTGGGAGCCAATTCAATGATGACGATTAACAGAAGCCTTTCTCAAAAATCGGGATAGTCTCTTATCGACTGTTACAAATAATGGGATAAACCACATCCTGATTCACCCAGCAACCCAGCACCTTCTACTTCCCCTACCAGACACTACCAACAAACAGTGTTCACCTCATCCACCCATGCCACCATCTCCAAAGAAAAATAACAAAACCCTCAACATCCTCCCCGCAACCAAAGGCGCCAGCTGCAGAAGAAAATTCCACCACCGGCTCGGGCCAGGCCTGTGAGAAGCCGGTAGTGCCAAATCTGCATCTTGGGGTCCGGGACACGCTCCAGCGCATGGACAAAGGCCGCATTGTCCTTGACCACACTGGCCACGTTCACCTGGGGAAGGTGGAAGACTTTGAGTCATGGAGACCCTTCCTGGAGCCTCCAATAGGTGTTTCCTGGTGGCAACAGGTGTCCAGAATCCACCTGTTAGAGTCCCTCAGACAGACTGTGGAGTCGGGTGCTGGTTGATGAGACTCTCAAACCTCCAAGACTTTTCCTTTGACAATCCATATCTAAAAGGATTTATGATTTTCGTCTAGAAGTGACTCTTCAAGAAGAGTGAAGATGCGTCAACTTCTGTCTGGTGTCTGGTGTCGAGAACAAGTCATTCCGATCCAAGAATGCTTAAAGATCCAAGAATTCTAGACCAGCAGTCACAAAGGGGTGCTTAATGGAGGTTAGGGGTGCCCATTATCCACTCGCTTAGGGACCAAACACCACCCCTTTGTGACTCCTGGGAGTCACTTCTTTCTGATTCCGAATCCCAAAAAAGAAAGCTCTGAAGTCGGAGCGACTCCGTCAAACGGAAAAGCCGGAGCGACTAGCCTCTAAGGCTTTGATGGGCGAAGGCCTTTCAAACATATGTTTACCGGTTCTCGGGGAACTCTTACGATCGGACCGTCGGACCGTTTAGCCTTGGTCACTGTTGATTGCACCCTTCACAAGCTGAAAAGTGTTGTGACCTTTCTTCTAGGTAACAGGATGTAACAGTGTCCTGGAGGTTTTTCTTTTTTAACTCAGTCGTTCATCATCACTCTGTGTGTAATGACTGAACAACATCTTTTGTTGGAGATTGAGTTACCCACATGCATGGTCAGCCGCATGCGACACCCCAGTGCTTCAGTGCCGGCTCCACGTCCAAACGACCGGCCATCTGTTTTTGGCATCAAACCGTTTTGCTACCGGGCACCACCTATCCACCTCTTGGTGAGCCTTGCTTGTTCTTAACGTTCTTTACCCTTTGCTTAATTATGATTCATGACAAGTTGATCAAGATCCAAGTCATGACCAACATATCATCAATGTTCAGGTGGACTCTTGATTCGTATTAAACCTCCCCCAACGCCGAAGTAAAACCAAACCAACGCCTGCAGAACGCAGCCTTGAGGACAGTCCACAGTCGACGGTGAAAAGACGGGAGGATCTGAAGCCAAGGCCCGGCCAGGCCCGGCTGCCATCACCCACTGCCCGCCACTTCGAGGGGCTTGGTAGTTCCCTGGAGCCTGGCACCTCCATGTCCCAATATTCTCTGATATCTCAGAGATCTCACACCTCTGGGGGTTGACAAATCGTCCATTAAAAAGGTTGGTCATTTATCCCAGACACTCCATGGGACTGCCATATATATATGCCGCCCCATTGACCCCCCTGGCACCAATATGGCAGTCCCATTAGTCGTGTCTGGGTATGTTGATCCATGAAATCCATAGGATCCTCACAGGTCCATACCATCTTTGGATCCCGACCTCAGACCACCCGCGACCTGGCAGGACTTCGCCGAGCGACCGTCGGCGTGGAGGCGTCTGTGGCGTTCTGTGTGGAGATGATGGCACAGCAAACCTCGATAAGAGCTGGGTTTGTTCGATCGACTACACGCGCAGGGGAAGATGAAGGACATGTACAGGTCGAAACCGGAGACAACACGATCTTATAGTTAACATTATAAGCCCTCACTGTTTGGCACGCCGTTTTATAAACAGGGGTTTTATAACCATGGACATGAGGGGATTCGATGAATTGAGTCTCTATATATAAATGATATACTCAATGTTGAAAGTCCTGGTGGTTTCTACATGCTTGTCCAACAAAAAGGTGCTGCGACATGCACCACGAGAAGTCTAAGCATATGCATTGCAGAAGGGGACGTACACGAGGTCCGACCACGGCATATCGTCTGAGAGTCTACTACGTCTGAAAGCCAAAAACGGTGTTGTTGCCCATGGGTTTGGAGCCTGCTGTTTGGGATCCCAAACTCAGCCCGAGATTGGATGATATTCCAAACAAAAATGGACAAGCAACATATACCCAGACCCACACAAGTGCAAGGTCCACCAGACCTGCTGTGAATTGAGAGAGGAGAATAGACTGCCACCGACCCACGCGATGCAGGGCGGGACTCGGTCCAAGCCCAAGCCACTGCCGCCATGTCCTGCAGCGTAGTGTGCTCTTCTCGGTGGTCGCCATACGCCTCAGGTCCCCCCCGCATTCGCGTTCGCGTTCGCGCTCTAAGGTGTGGGGGGAGTGCATCTATGTCTGCTTCTGGAAGGACACCCGGTCGGCCCCAAGAAGCACTGCTTAAGGTCATGGAAATCTCTGAATCTGAAGGACTCAATGAGAGGGAGCCCCAGGGACCTGGGTGAATGTCATGATCCAACAATCGGTGCATGACATGCGGGACAGCTCAGGCTCTAAGATGCAGGACACGATGTGGGCCCTTTCCTTCACGCCCGACTGGGCCGGAAAACATGGGCGAAATCAACACGAGCGACTGGTCACCAACTCTGTGACGAAACCTTCGCAGACATATGAGACTATACGCCTCTGACACTGCCTGCACTCATCACGACGTGGAGAACCACCTCCCATGCCATCCACTTTCGATGATTTCAGTGAGGCTCGTCAGTGAGGTTTCCATCAGGTCAAGCCGGCAAAGTGACGGCGACAGGCGATGGGGGAACAAGGTGAATCAGATCAGAATATGGCCACGAATCCAAACCCTAGGTCCCGTTTGGGCTCCAGTCGTACCTTCGTTTCGGGGGTAGGGACTGAGTGCCAGGAGGATCCAGGAGACCTCCGTTTTGGAGGTAACCTCCTGCTGGAGCCCAGACGGGAAATGGACGTGGAGGTTTCCTAGCCTGTCCCAAGTTCTCCAGGCCTAAAAATCAAGCAACTTCCATGAAGCAGCTTCGACCGGAACCTTCCGCGCATCATCCTTCTGTATTCTCTATATAACCACATCTCTCTCATCTCTCTCTCATCTTCGGCGGTCCGAGGTGCCACTTCCATGAGATATTCCAAGAAGACCAAGCCTCGATAGCAGCACCGATCGGCAAGAAAGAAACCCAAACACTCCATGTATGGCATATATATATGTTCCATATGGGACTGGCATATGTTCATACATTGGAGTGGTTGAAGTCGGGGTCAATGTATGTAAATATGCCAGTCTCATTAGTCGTGTCTGGGAAACAGCAAGCACCGCGCTTTTCGCGGCTTTTGCTTCTCACAGCGATCTGGGATATTTGGGTCCGGTGAGGGACCCTCAAGTGAAAACAACAACACAAAGAATCAGAATGAGTGTCATACTGCTTTTGTATATCGTATCATACTGTTTACTGCTTTTGTATACCGTGTACCTTTTGAGTTTCTGCACCTTTTGTTGTTGTTGTTGGTTCTGGGAGGCAGAGAAAGGACAGTGCAACTGCTGATGGAAGCCGCTCCTACACCACCAAGAGGGATTCAGATCCAAAGCCGCGGGTCTGCTTCCTCAAAACGAGGCCGGGGCTTCCTGATCAATCCAAGGAGAGAAAACCACACACACATACCCTGGCATTGTTGGGGACCACTTTATCCACTACCAGTTACGTAGAAGAAAAATGAAGAAAAGAAGTACTTTTACAGGAACTTCACAAAAAAACATATTCCTTCTTCAAACATCCAAACACTTGGCGACTGTTTTTGGGCAGAATGTTGACATCCTCCCTAGGATTCTCTGGAGGGTTATTTTCATCTATGTTCATCTCACAGTTCCCTCCAAATATCTGCACATGGCCGAGCAGCCCTTAAAGGGGAAGGCCTGCTTCACCATCAGGTAGAGCGTATTGAGGATCCTGAATGTGTGACGGGGCTTTTTGCCCGCATCCAGGTCTCAGCAGTCAAAAAACCTGAAGACTGCATGTAGATTCTTGAGAAACTTGTGTTTTAGGAGCTTCCAACCTAAGAGCGGTGGTCTCCAACCTACTAGTGATGGCCTCCAACCTACATGCAGGTCTGACCTGACTCATGTAGATTCTTGATGAGTTTATCAACCTTTCCATTTTCGATTACAAAGCCTCATCAGGGCTTGCGGGAGTTTCATTCTAATTCATCAATAATAGGTGAAGAACCCCAGTCTCTATGTCGCCGAGAAAATCCGAGGCCTCAACTGAGAATCGAGCAGGACCATCCTGTCTGGGTGTCGAGGCTGGACTTACACAACTTGGAGATCTCCAGACAGGAAAAAAACAAACAGGATGGTGCAAGTATAGCTACAAATCCAGGTGAACAACATTCAGCAAAAATTCCAATGAGCCGGCAAACTCAAGGCCTGCGACTTTCCCCGATTTCAGCTCAGTTCCTGTAATTAGCATTCATGAGCTATACCTGGTTCCTTCCTCCAGCACGGCTTCTGTTGCAGTCGACAAATCGACCATTCGATTGCCACCATGGCAGGGGCCACAATGGCGTTTTGTGTTTTCACGGCGTGATGTTGAGGGCTCATGAGGGGTCATGAAGGATACCCTTGCCAGGTATAACCTCATTGTGAACCTGACCGAAACCCATACCTCTCAAACGATCCCTTTCCCGTATACCTGTGGTCCTCAAACCAAGCAAAAACCAGATGGGTGAGTCGATCCATACAGTCGAGGCGGCTGTTCGTCTTCCAGTATGTCGCTGGTCTTCAGGCGATGAATCTTGATGATGTGCCTGGCAGGCGTAGATCGATGTCGCCGGTCCGGTGGAAAGTGGCTGAGTCTGAAAGTGTCTGAATGTGGCCGAGTCTGGAAAGTGGCCGAGTCTGATAGCTGATAGTGTCATTGTAAGTCATATAGAAAGTTGTCCGAGAACAGAGAGTTTTGGAAGGAAACAAGGTCAGCTTCATCAAGATCAACGGATGATTTTCTAGATTGCGTTTTGCATGAATAAGCTCTTTGTTTCCGTCTCCCAAAGCCTTGGTGATCTTTTGCTTCCCATCAAAACACAATCAGCGATCGCATGCAAACGCTAATTGTTGTGCAAGGACGGTTCACCATGCACTCATTTGGGTGGAATCTTGGGAAATGTCACTTCGCCAAGGTGCAAGAAGTTTTCGTAGTCAATGATGTCCACCTTCTCCCAATTCATGTTCCTCGCTTGTCTGCACACAACGTTGAGAACGCACGTCTCACTGTACTAATCGTTTCGACCACGAAGACCCGTTCGTACGGCGTCAGGAGAGAACTGAGGATAACTGATGAGGTCGGTCGATTCGACATAGGAGCCCTGTAAGAAATTCAAGTGAGGTCTCAAACTGTATGATGTGTTTGTGTTCCCCTTCTCGCGTGGTGCATGAGAGTGGTGCACGATCCACCAGTATAATATACGGACCAAAAAGAGCAGAAACACACACAGAAAGAAACGCACCTTGACCTTGAAGACATAAAATGCTGACAAAGAAATCAGGACCCTCGATGTTCTCCCAAAAAAGCATTTGGGACCTCCTAAAAATTAAGAGGCATCAATTTACAATCGATTGACCCCCCAAACCGACTCAACGACCCCGAAATTGGGGGCGGCGGGTCTTATTGGTCCCACAGCACAGTCTGTCTAGAACCCTCCACATAAATTGGCAACACGTCAGCAGGTGAAAAGCATGTGAAAAAGCATGCTTGGTCGTTGCTTTTCTTTGCAGGAAATACGTCAATCATCCGTTCTTCCCACCAACTTCCCATCTCCCACCACATCTCACCCATGAAAACAACCTCCAAATGAGCTTATCTTCAGACCAGGCGTCTGTAGGCTATCTGTGCGCTTCAGCAAGGTTTGCAGGATCACTAAGACATCTCCAATGACCTTCTCTCGTTCTTCTTCCTGCCAAGTGAAGGGCAAGAAGAACAACCTCAAAGTCACAAGTGGGCTATTGACTTATTTGAGTATCTGCAATCGTCCGTGGTTCTCCGGATTTCCTGTTCTTAACTCAACCGCAATGGTATATTTGTATTTCTATTGTATTCTATTGTGGTGTTCTAGAGCTTTGGGTTCTTAATGATGGTCGGGCTTGTTCTCGTGCACCCGCTACATGAAACATCATGAAACCCTGTACCTGGAAACCGCAAGGAGCTTCAAGTTTTTGCTTTCGATCTCGCCCAGTTGTGGCTTTTGAATGCGAGAATGACGTACAGAACTTCACACCTAAGGGACACCTCCCATCTAAGAGTCTAAGCGGTCCTGCGCATCTTCTTTTTGCTCCACATTGTTCCCCCCACCCGTCATCCACCACGCACAAGCAACACCGCGCGCGAGCCGTGAGCCCCACCCGTGTCGCGCCGTGTCGCGCAGTGTCGGCTCTCTTCGCCTTGTTGGGCACACTGCGTCGTCCGGAGATCAGGACTTTGGAGAACCTGGCCGCGCGTCCCGCGTCGCCACGGCAGGACGGGCCCAGGTTGGTCGACAGGTTGGTCAAGAAGACCCAGGTTCAGGACTGAAAAACGGAGGCCCCAGGTTGGGCGGCACTGCTAAGGTGGGGAAGAAATGTGGACGTCGACTTGTTTTTTTTTATTTTTTTTCGAAGGGGAGCCATTTGGGATGATTGAGGTCATCTAATTAAGCTGCAGACTTCGGCATCGGCTCACTTACGGACAATTTGAGCAAACACGGTTAATTCAAAGAGCTCTAGTTTTTGAAGCCAAAACAGATAGGTATAGACTGCAAAGATCAGTCCGAACTACACCCTTTCAGGAATGTTGGGTGCATATTCAACAGTTCTAACCACCAGGTGACATCCAAGATGTCAGCCCACTGAGTTCCAATTCCAGTATATAAATCCATCGATGAACACATGACCTATCCATACCATTGAACGGATGTATCCACCTGGACAAAGGCCATTGTAAAATCTGCCTGTCCTGCTCTTCTTCCCCTAGGGTGCCAAACCTTGAGTTGATAAGTGGTAAATCATAGTAAAATCCCTATCAAAATCCAAAGGACCTGTTCAGGTCAAAGACTATACCTCAGGAGGGTCCAAACCAAAAATCTGTCTGTGAGGAAACCAAGACTTTTCAAGCCCTTGGAACCCCATGATTCACGAGTCTGGGACAGATTTGAATCAACACCTTGTTGACCATGACCGAATTACCACCCCAAGAGAAGATTCTAATAACATGACTCTGACCGAATCACACCGAATCACTGGCATTATTCATGTGTTTTCTTTTTGGTACCGCCCAGTGTTCAACAGCTCCGTTTCCCCCTCTCCTCATCGTGAGAGTGATCAAGTATGGCACGTTGATGCCAGACCTCAGCAACAAAATGGGGCGAACTCTCCCTAATTCTTAACACGCTTAAATGCTTCCTGTGGTGTTTCAGGTGAACTCGCAGGGTAGCCGCAGAAGGGGGTGGTACTTTGGACCTGACGCTGACGACACATTCCGAAGACACATTCCTCCTCCCACCAGCAAGGTCTGGCGACATGCATGCTGAGAACAGAAAAGACCCCTGACGGCACAGAGACACTGACGACACATTCCGAAGACACCTTCGCCGACGACACATTGAACTCTGAGGACACAGAGACACTGACGACACATTGCGCAAACAGATTTGCTGGACAGATTTATTCTTTACATATTTTTTTCCAGGGAAAACTGGGTCCGCCAATGCTCTTGAAACAAACTGAGACTATAACTGTAGGCGCGCGCGCGCGTGCGCGCACCCGAGTTTAAAATAATGTGTAGTATATCTATATTCATCGGTTAAAAAGCTTCTCCGTGTATGTATACAGGCGGTTTTTTTTTGTTTAGGGTGCTGAGGTGGAGATCAAGACCATGTCTTGCGTATGTTCAGGGCCATTGGCCTAGGATGGCCGCTTAATGTCTCTTGGATTCTTGGAAAGACGCACTTTTCTTCAGAACACCTGGAGTGATTCAGAATCGCCACCTCCAAATCGCCGTGCAGAAGTCCTTCACGAATGCCACCCAGTCCTCCGAGGCCATTTGCAGATGCACTGCTTTGAGCTCTGCATCGGCCTCCATGTCCTTCGGCCATCGCTTCCAGGACTGCTCTGGCCGCTGCCGATTCGTCCGCTTCGGCGTACAACCTCGACTTCGACGGCGGTAACCTGGGAATTCGTCGGTTGCGGCGTACGCCCCCAGTGAAATCCCCCCCTCCAGATCTTCGGTCAGCCAAGCTCCCCGTGACGTTGTGGCTTTGAAAAGCGATGAGCGTAGACCGTCTCGAAGAATGCACAGAACAACGGCTCGGGTGCCATGATAGGTTTCCTTGCTGCTGTCCAGGAGTGTAGAAGGCGCATCCGCAGTCGGGCCCACATCAGCTGCTCTCGAAATACTGCAAAGGCACCCTAATACTTCGGAACGGCTCATTAAAATTCCAGGTCATTGTATCTGCAAGTTCTCAGGAAAGTGTCTGCACAATTCGTCTTCGTCTGCGGGTGCAATTTTACACCCCCCCACGCAACCACAATGGAACTCGAACTAAGTGATTGAAGGACGTCACGTGTTTCATCTTATTTGTGGGCCACCGTTTAGCCAGTGCGTAGTGTAGCAGTTCTTCCATCAACATCAACATTAGCTTTCTACAAATACTCAATTCTTAGCTCTTCCTTCGAGTGGTTGTTCACTTCCGGAGCCCATCAATGGGCAGTTAATTTGGAAGACCCTGTCCACCTGCCTCGGGTCTGCCACAATCTGGTTTTAGAGGGTCTTCCAGCTGGGTCTGCCAGGTCTGCCAAGAAGCTTGAAAACCTTCAGCAAACTCCCAGCGGAGTCCCTTTCCTCCTTACTGCTGGCGTTCTCCTTCCGCTCGCGCACCTGTCCGCAGAAAAGACACCCATCGAGATCGTGGTTCGGCCTTGAACACCCATTGAGATCCATCAGTCCCTATAGGGCCTAGGGAGTCCACAAGCTAGATACCGCGATTTCGCAGTAAACACCTGGATTTGAAAGCCAGCAGTTGGGTTTCGTTCGTTGGGGCACCTTCGTTTCTGCACGGCAGGAGCCACAGGACCAGTTGCGTAGGAGCAAGATGAAGCTTTGCCTTGGCTGCGTGGCAGTCGAATTGTCAGTACTCTGGTGAGCCAGTGGGTGAACAACGGCTATGAAGTCATCGTCAGTTCTTACCCAGGGTCCTACCACGTCTTCATGTTGCTCATGTGGCTCTAGACTCTATGCTGGACTCAAGGGGGGTTGCTTGAAACGTAGAAATATCCTACTTAACTGATCCAAACCATCGAGCCCCAAAAAAGCACTGCGCTAAGTAATTCCACCTTCAGAGCCCCTTCAGTGAGGCGTCTTGAAAACCAAAGGCTTTGCGTTGCGCGCGTCTTTGCACCAGTCACAAGGTTTGGATGTAGAGCTTGTCATCCTCAATCTTGTCCTGGACAAATCACGGAGGCGACCACCCGATGGACGCTCTTCACAGGAGGTGGCTAAGATGCCGTAGCTCCAAGCCGTGGTGCAGTGCGTGGTACTTTCACTCTACAAGAGTCCGAGGATTTCACATGCCACAAGAAGGTCGTCACTCAATTGCCAAATATCCAGCAACAACACCTATAGGAATTTGTGTTGATGGCCTTCGATCTGTTGAACATCATCCTTGAAAAAAAGAGTGTGCCAGTGGCTGGATAGACCAAACTCCATGCAACACAGGCCTAATGGCTGCCGTTTGATAATCACTTGGATGGTAGCCCCGGAAGCTTAGGGGAAAAGAACACATCTTGAAACCATGAGAAAACCAAGACTCCATTCCATTGGATTATGAAGGGCAGCCAAGGAGGGAAGGTAGCCAAATGTAGCCAAGGAAATCCAAGGAAGGGTGATTTGATGGCAAGCACGAACACCCTTGGTTTGTGACGGACCAGTTTGGCGTTTTTTCCCCCTTCCTTGGCTACCTCAAGGACAATCATCTGCCCTTCATGCCATGCTGACGACCCCACTTCCAGACCCACACTCGAGCAAAGGAGACGATGGAGCCGACTTCCTGACCCACCGAAAACTGTTCGGTATACATGCAACTATATTTAAATATGTAAGCTAGCTGTCAAATCGCCTCAAATATAGTATCTTGGTATTTGTACATATACAATCTTCCTGATTCCTATTGGAATAATGTGTTTTGAATTGATCTAATTACCAGGAGTCACAAAGGGGTGCCTATTGGAGGTTAGGGGTGCCCATTAGCCACTCACTTAGGGACCAAACACCACCCCTTTGTGACCCCTGATATAACCATCTTCATCTCAGCAACCTGTCTTTCACCACCTTGACGGGTCCGGGATGCAGGCGCCCCGGGTCCGCCGGTCGCTGAAGATGTCTCCTCGTCGTGGAACCAATACTCGAAGAGCTTACTGGCCTGGAGCAGTGTGGAGTCGGCAGTGCCCAAACGCCCCCAACGGCATCTCAGAAATCGATGCTTCTGAGTCTGCAGAGTCTGAGTGCTCAGGACTGCTGGGTGGTTTTCAAACGGTCCGCGTGTCTCGACCGAAGATTTGGGACACCGAAGATTCGGGTGTTCTTGGAACATTCCAGGACCCTCAAGGAGTGGTTAATGGACACCCCGAATCACAGCTAAGGCTATAAATATACACCCCGACAGGAGGGTCCTGGTTTGGAAGCCTTCAGTTCGTTGAGAATCTGTGGTAGTGATCAGGAAGTTTGAGGATCAAGCGACGAAAACAAAAGCAGGAGAAAGCACACGCATACTGCAGTAGGATTGCATGCTCATATGGAGGTTTTACAATCTAAATCCGGGTCTCTTATGTTATGGGCAAACCGAATGCTCCCTGTTCGCGTTAAAGATGGTAAGAAGAACTTAACCTTAGCTTACACGGATGACAAGGTTAAACTGCTGCCACTTAAAGCACGATCCTTGCGTGTTCTGTCAGAAAGCTTCAGGTGGATCCTTAAACACATTCAGACCTTTTCTAGGTCAAAAGTAATTCCTGCATATAAAAAACAAGGCACGTCTAGTTTAACTAGATTGGGGTTCACCCATTATCACGAGGGTGGCCTGGAAGCGCAGACCGGAGTTGCCTAATGCCCAGCAGACCTATACCTTTCTGCATGCTATGCTTCAGACGATGCCTTATGACCCACCGTTCCATAATGAAATCGAGACCACGCCATTGCCGCCCGATTTGCCGTCACCACCGTGGCCGGGTCTACCAGAGATCCCAGTTGAAAAACAGGACGCCTTCATACAGCATGTGCGGTATGCTCTTTTCCGCCACAAATAGTTCGATACAATCTGACACCCGACTGCCCCTGTCAATTAGATGCGTTTTGTGCATGAAGTGCAAGCAATTAGTGAATAAGGACTGAGACCTTAGTTTTGTGTGTGTGATTTTGCTTTGCCTTGAACCCGTTTCAAGATCGCTGTTCGGTTTCACAGTTATAGTCATAGTTATCGTTGTGTACATATTTCTTGAGGACCATCCTGGTTCCCTATGTCCTTTTTTCACTGCCCAACACCACCAACACCTGCCATACAACATGACAATCATGACAAGGGTATGCGTGGTTGTGTACGTATGTCCGCAAGTGAGTGCATCCAAATCCGGCGGGGGTAATTCATTCAAGAGTCTACATATGTCTACATGATCTCTCCTTCGCAACTCTCCCCACTTCGCCATCATCTCTCTCCATCTCTCTCCTCCTTCCGTGCTTCGCGCGCAAACGAGCGAAGACGTGCAGACCTGCGCGAGCTTCGGCGCCGGTGCCTCCTCCAGGAAGTTCAGATGTTGTAGCTCCGCAGTGATGAAGTCCACTTCAAAGGCCAACAAATTGCCTCGACCGCACGTCGTAAGGTCGGCGTTTTTGTTGGTCTTTTTTGATGTGCGAGCTCGACAGATGGTCTTGACTAAATGGTCTTTTACTCTTTTGCACGTTGACAGAACCTGCCTTTCCCTCGAAACACGCCCTGGGACAGGTTTAGGGTTTCGTTCACTAAAACCGGAAATCTTCAACCCACCTGAGAAAACCTGCCACGAGTCCTCAAACGCTTGGTTGCGAAAGAGGTTGAAATGGCAAGCTTTCACCGAAGGAACCATTCCTTATTCCCAATGTGGGCAGGTCGAATGATCATTCAATAGGGCATCCATCAGGCAAACCATGTGAACCAATCCATCACTACTCCATTATCACTCTATCTTTTGCTATATTGTAAAAAGAACTCCCTCTCCCTCTCAATTCTCGTCCCCTCCCATCCTCCCATCCAGCAGTTTTCAGGTCAAGGCGCAAATGAAGCGCAGCGCGTGCAAGGTCATGGTGTTTGCCACATCCACGTCTTCGAAGGTTGGAATCGCCTTCACCACTCTAATGACCCCACGAAGTAAGCCTTGGGCGAAGGCGCCAGACGCCGGTGGAACAGGAGGAGGGTCTGGGAAGGCTTCGGGCCTAGCTTGCGAGGTGAAGGAGGGTTCTTTCGTGCAAGTGGGCGGGGTTTGCCAGTGACCTAGCTAAGTGTTACATGGAACACGACATGCTGACATGCCGCTGAACCCAAACAGGACACCTGGTTTGATTGGAAAGGGCCATGTTTGGGGAGGAGGTGGTGATCCAACTCAGGATTCGGAATCGTCCTTTTCCACTGGAGACCGGTGGAATCACCGAAAAGATTCGTTGGGTGGATGGTGGATGACCAGCGTTGTCTTTTTGCGAAGGGGTGCGGCAGGTGAACTTCTGAGTTCAAGTTCAATTTACTGAGTGCTGATTACTATATACTTGCTCAATACTGGTTGCACCTGATTGCTGCTTAACAATAGTGGCTGATTGATGGTTGCTGTCTTCCTTCTTTGCCATCTCCTGTCACTGGCGATCACGGCAAGATCCGATACTAGCAGGACAAAACGCTTTGGGGATGTTTAAAGTAGGAACCACAACTGATCAGTTCCCCTTTTTTCCTTCCCTCGCCGTAGAACTACTAAGTATATAGCTATTAATTGTATAAATGTGTATAACCATGACTCCTCCTCCACCATCCATCCAATGGGGGCGTCCAATTCTCGGAAAACAAAAAAATAACACACGCATACGGCCCTCACAGCTCTCCTGAACTCATTCCAAGGAGCGTGACATCTCCTCCACCGGCAGGTGCTTCCCCAGCTTCCGCGTGCCGTGTCCACCGGCGCCCGGTGTGGTGCCCGGGCGCTCGTAGGCGGCGAAGTTGGCGACGCAAAGCATCGAGAGGCACAGCGCGTACATGTCGTTGGATCCTCAAAGCAGCTGCCCACGTCACGTGGGGCAGGAGGCGGGGGCAGCAAATAATGGATGGACAACACGAGGTGTTTTCCCTCTGGCAGTGATGGCGTATATATATTGGGATGGATGGTGGTTTATATACGTTCTGGGCCACATGTAGATATTCCATACATGGAGTTGTCTGGGATATACAAATTGGTCCAAAGAGTCCATATATACATGTTGGTCAGCTATGGTCATCAATAGGAACTAGCACTCTGGGAGATACATGGAGATAAGTTGAGAGAAGTGATTTCCCAATGAACCTGTTCGCACATCTGAAACTCTACCGCTTTGGACATGATTTCATCGGCCCAAGGCCCCCTGGGCCGGGGACCCAAGTTGAGCATCAAAGTGGGCCTGGGCTTAGCATCAACGTGTTCTCCTCAAAAAACAGGTCGTCTCTGAAACAGATCTGGGTCGATGCGCCCAGGGCGGGCATGGTTTCGTCGATCCTGCAGACCAGTTTTGATGTGTCCTCTACCCACCGGTTCGCAGCCTTTTCATGTCGTCTCACAGCCTTTTCTCACATCCGACACCCACCTGACTTAGTTCCCAAATCCCCCCCAAAAAAGTTCCTGTGCACCTCAAACCCGATTTCTCCACAGTACTGTATAGGAGCATGCTCGGCTTTCCTTCATCCGAGCATCGCTCCAGCTCCTCAGCCAGGAAGTTGCGCAGTTCGCTTTGCCGCAGGGAGACCAAGCCCCCAAAGGGTCGGCCTCGTTTCCAACGGGTGGAACCACGGCCGGTTGGGTGGACCAGAGAATGTTCACGGATAGATAGAGCCGAAGGCAGTTGAGATCCACGGATCCCCTGACTGTAAGAAAGCCTACTAGGAAGCTAAGAGGGACTTCATGGCAAAAAGTGGAGACTTGTTCAGTTCGAATGTTCCAACTGGCACGTCCCAAAAGAAAGTGAGACAAATCATGGAAGGTACAATTCCAGTGCAGGGGGTCCTGCTCCTGATTTGATAGATATAAAATGGAGTGATGGACCCCCAGGAAGCCATAGAATGACTGAGACCTCTATAAAATCAAGCGTGTTGACCAATATTAAAAGTCTATATTTTGAGAAGACTTGACCCCCTGAAATCCTTTATAAAATGAGCAGCTTTCTATAAAACAACGCGTGCTGACGCCCAGCAAGTTTTCTATAATCTGATGACATCAAATGACATTTGACGATAAAAAACGCATGATATGTTTTTCTCCACATTTCTCTGGTGCGATCTGCTCTGGTCCCACATTGGTTGCCAAGCGCTTGACAGAAAATCCCCCTTCGCTCTCATTGCAACCACAAACACACAACATGTTAGACCAATTGAGATCAAACATTGAGACCAAAGGCGTTTGTAAACACTTTGATAAAAAAACACCAAAAAACACAACACTTTCATAGAGATTCCTAAACATTTCTAAAATTCTAAACGCTTTCTAGCTGCAATGAGGCGACTCGACATGGCTCAACTCGACATGGCTCAACCATGTTGATCAACTTTCACCTTGGAAAGCTGCATAAACTGTGGATGAGATGAGCCCACTGTGTTCTCACAGGCGGACGTCTCAAAAGCTGATTCTCGATTCTCGATCTGCTTGAGCTTGTCGTGCGCAAGCTTTCCCCACACCTCGCGTTTCCGTGTTGGAAACTCGGCCGAGAAGAAGTTGGCGGCTGCGTTCAACAGATCTGTCCTTGTGCTCTTGGAAGCGTTGGGATGCCTAGGATCGAATGAACAAGCATAAATTTTAAAAATGGTAAACTGTAATTTTTTTGAGATCAAACTTGACAATAGATGTTGGGAATGATCAGACCTTGATTCATGAATCTCAAACATCGGATTTCATTGTCAATTTCTGAAACAAAATTTTAAATCAAAAAATCAACGCACTCACCCCCCAAAAAAATAAACAAATATATACATTTTTCACATCAAAAAATCTCATAAATATGTTCAAATACTTTATCCGACAGATCTTGGTCTCGGCGTCGAACATCGGCTTGCTAGGAAAAGCCAGGACGTCCATCTCAAGCAGCCGGGACATTTGTTGCTGAATCATGCGGGTACCTTTGGATGATCTCGTGTAATTGGAGGCCTTGTTCTCGAGCGGCTGCACCAATGGGGTAGAAGGAGGCGCTTTGATGATGGCCACCTTCTTTGCCACCGCAACGGATGACTTCTTCTCGATGGGCTTCTTCTTCCCAGCAGCTTTCCATCGAGCTGCTGTCCTGAAGCACCTTATCTGTTTCTTCCGGCGCTTAGGCTCTGCTTGGATCCCTCGAGAATGGAAGCCTGAACGCCAGTCTGCAGCCACCCGCTTTTGCGCTTCCTTCACTGCTACGACACTGTCCTTCGTCAGCTCCACGAAAAAGGCGTCGATGCACTCATGTGGCGCACGATGACCTAAAAAGAAAAGGTCAACAAACCAAACATCTTGAACTAATAGATAAGCACAACTACAAACAAACCAACCAATGTGTTTTTTTACTAATGTGTCTATAAACTGGGGGGTGTGACGTGCAATTTAGCATTAGATAAATCGTTTTATAAGGAGGGTTGACCCCCCTGATTTTGTACTGGCGAATTGTACCCTCCATGACAAATCCACGCGCGACGAAACCGGAAGGTTGTAATGCTTTCTGGGATCCCATGGTGCAAGCAGGGAAACCTCTTCTGCGCCCCTCACCGTGTCCCCGCTACCCAAAACCACACCCAGCAACCTACTATCATCACACTAGGATCCACACGTGTGGATCCACATCTACCTAGGTACGGTGATGTGTTCCACCCTGTTCTGGTGTTCTGGTAGGTGGGTAGGTGTGGGTCCACTCGTACCCAACCTGAGAAGGGGCACCACTGCATCGACCTACAGAGCCCGGCTCGGTGCAGTGGTGCTGAGAAGCTGCTCTGACCACGAATGAAGGATCCAGGAGGCCAGAGGCGTGGTGCAACTGGGGTGGCTTGAACTTGGGTAGCAGAGTGAATCCGTTTTGATGGAGTACTGGTGAATCCATATAGTACCTTAATGACATGGATGGAACCGGAATGGATCAAACTGCATTCAACCCCAAAACATCCGTGCCTCAAACAACAATTAAACCCCCCTGGTCAAACCCCTGCCATCCCCGTTCCCATCCACTTCCATCGCGTCGACCATCACCGTGTGTTCCCGACCCACGGAGCCCAGGGTACGCTGCGCGGCTCGACGCGTTCGGCCCAAGCCACGGATGCCCTGCTCCGACGCTTCGCTCTCCCCGACGGTGGGCACGCCACCGGCCTGGCGATTCGGCGGATCCGGAGAACCCATGTTTATCCGGAGAACCAGAGGTTTCCAGGAGAAAGGAGAAAGGAATGTTTTCAGGTTCAGGTATCTGTCCCTAGCGGAGTCTTCTGTACCTAGAGGTCAGTTGGAGCTCATTCTACTGGAGTTGACATCGTATAGAAGCAATTCAAAACATGCACCCACTATAAGCTAAAGGACTAGGTTTTCCTGTGTCAGACTATACCTTTAGGGTGTCTTCTGTTCAGGTCCTAGATCAAACATGGGTAGACATGAGGAACCCTATCTGTATCTTCCACTCAAAAGCCCGCTCCAAAGGGGGTCCCATCCGTCTTCCGATGTCTATCAACTAATCTGCTTCGGCCAGCGGGATTGGTGTTCCAGGGTTTGGAATGTGACGGGTCTTCAGTGCTCCAGAAGTCCCACAGTTTCATGATAAGCCTTGGTAAATATGACACAATTGATGAATGTATCACAAACCCAAATCATGTATATAGACGTTTGAAAAAACATGAAAAAACACATGGATTGTCGAACCGGGGGGGTAACTGAAAAGTCATCACGAAAAAAATGTTTATAATTGTACTTCCGTCGCCATTTCTTCCGCTTTGCCAAGCCTTTTCCATCCTTTTCCCACCCTTTCCACCCCCCCGCGGACCTCAGCCACTGCTGTCGCCACCGCCGCTTCCGCCGCCGCGGCCTCCGCCGCGTCGGCCACCGCGGCAGCTGCTGCGGCGTCGGCGTCCACCTGCATGCGGCCCAGCGTGGGGTCGTCCGCAACAGCAGCGCCAGGAGCGCCTGCAGCAGCCTGGAGAATTTCAAAGTGGAAGCAGGAGGTTTGTTAGAAGATCTAAGCTACCAGTTCACCTGGCAGAATCCTTGGATAGGCTGAAATCAGGTTCCAGGACTGCTACTGTAGGAGGGAAAGAGGTGAACATCTGAGCTATACAGCCAGTGAGCTCGCAGTGGCATCGGTGGCCCGAAGACTCCTTGAAACCCTAACAGTTGGTGGCTGAAATCAGATGCCAAAACTGTGAGCAACCAGGGCGGAGAGTCCTATTTGTTCGTTGAAGATCTTGGTTTCATGTCGGCTACCAGTCACCGGACCAAGTGAAGAGCGGAGCGACCGGACCGGAGGATAGAACGTATAGGTTGCGCTGGAGTCGACTTCAAGGGGTGGAGTCATTTGGGTTCCAAACGTTTCAAGCAACTAGGCTAGGCCAGGCTAAGTGTGTAGAAACCTGCTGTAAGAGGGCTGTGATAGGTTGTGATGCCCACAAGATGTTGGATTCGTGCCATCATGATCTATCATCATGGTTTCTCTCGCAGACTAACATTGTTTTGTCCCTAGAAATGTGAAATGTCTGCATATCTCGGTCCTAGCTACGCATGGTTGGTTCACTCTTCCAACTTCTTACACCACCTAACATGCCTTCTTACGCATCAACAGACTGGCTCCAGTCTGTCTGGCGGCAGTGAAACACCCATGAAACATGATGTCCCAAAAAATCGGCTTCACCCACCTTCATCTGCAAATACAGAACATCTGTGAGTCCCAAACTCAACATTCCAAATTCTGGTTCTGGCTCACCCGTTGAGATCCAATTATGGCCATCCATGAAAAGGCAATCCTTTGACCCTCCAAAAATATGGGAGTGGTGTTGTAGTGTAAAACCCCTAGTAAAACCATGGTTCTTCTTCAAAGGCTACAACATAAAGGCTAAATAATGTCAAGTCTATTTGGAAAGGAGCCAGTTCAAACTGAACAAAACCATAAATGGAAGAGCTCGAGCTCTTCAAACATAATGGTTCGAATCCCCCCCAAAAAAAAACTGAACAACACATTATAAAACACCTCTCGCTCACCCTTCGGCGCCTTCTCGTCCTCTATCTCGAAGGCCGCGTCCTCCGGCCGTGCCTCAGGTTCCGCGGAACATCCAGCGGAACGCGGAACGCGGCCTTCGGTTTCGGTTGGAGAATAAGGGTGTTCCAACTTGAGATAAGGACAACCAAACAAACCGCAGAAGACATACCAAAAACATCCAACAACCATCTGCGTGGTTCATGGTTCAATATGGTTCAAAACTTGCAAGGCTGTTGGAGATGGAAAAAGGGTGCTCGACGTGAAACCCTTTTTTTCTAAGGCCCTGAACAGCTATCAAACCATTTAAGAAGATTCGCTTTCCCTGCCCAATGAGAACTTTATGTCCAGGATGTTGCCAGCAAAACTGCCAAGTCAAGGAAGCTCCCTTGATCCTTCCTTAACTTCATTGAGTCTTTTTGGGCACGCCCTGGAAGGCTTCATGGTTACATGGATGGCATGGTGGCCAAAATCGGATCACCCTGAAATCGGAATCCCAAACAGGGACAAGATCCACTTGATTCATCCTCTCCCCAGCCACCCCAAAACACACACCATCACCATGGATCCACTCACCCTAACCACCCCCCTCACCCCATCCCCAAGCTCTTCCAACACCTAGACCTAGCCATCCTCCATCATCCTCCAGCGCGACCGCGCACCACTCTCCCGGTCCCCTCCGCGACTCCCACCGACCCTTCTGCGCCGCGAGCGAGAGACGAAGGGGGCGCACTCGTAGCTGGCGGCGCACGCGAAGTAGCGCAAGGTCTCCGTGCGGATGGCCGACACTTCCTGCGGGACGTCGGCGCGGCTGCTGTCTCCGTCTGCGGTTCTCCGAAGACGCGCGCGGGCGATGAAGGAAGAGATGTTTTGACCACCGTGGTGTGGATATGGACCAAGGGGTGAGCCACCTTTATGTGTGGAGAATGGGTTGATATAGGGGAGAATCCCACAGACTCAGACAGACTATATATAGACATAGACATCCTATATGGATAGGTGTCATCCAACCAGTCTTGTTTCACATGGTTCAACAAAGGCAGGCCACACGTGTTAGATAGGGACATGTTCTGGTGGGGCCCAATAAGGTTCTCGAAGGGGACTGATGTATGGTCCCAGTCAGAGTCAATTTGTTTGTTTCATGTTCATATCTAACTGCACAAGCGCCCCAACATGCAAGCAAATTGCCAGCGGCTTCTAGAAGACTCAAGAACCAAACTACGGAGCGCAAGCATAGTGACCAAGCTATGATAGTTTTCGAGAATCCCCTCAAATGTCTGTCGCACAGTCCAGCAGTCCCCTTTTTGCGCATCCCTTGGCACTATACATGACTAACGCAAGGTGGTTCAAAAGGACCTGAATCCTTATCAGTACATGTGCGCTCACATGAGAAACACCTCTTAAGTCTCTTCAGGCACACAGACCTGACCTATTTGCAACACATGGATGTTCATGATGCTCGAGCTGCCACCGATGACTGCGAGGGTCATCATGGGCAAAAACAACGATCACTCTCCTTTACCCCTCCCGTGGTTTTCCAGCTCCAGGCAGGCATAGGTTGAACAGCTTGAAGTCATTGAGACGTGATGCGACATGCAGATCTATTGAGATGCAGTTCCAGAGCAAGTTTTAAGGCTCCCAAAACACAATTGCTCAGTCCCCGCCATGCCTTTCAGCTCTTCCCACTTATACCGGAACCAACGCCTTGTACCGCTTGACGATCTGAGGAAGCCATGTCATCACCTGCGCTTCAACGAAAATGGGACCGTGGAAGACCCACCAAAGGGTTTGGGTTGCAGGCCACCAAACGGTTTCCTGAAACATGAAACCTGGGAACTGGACAGTACAACTGTTTTAACCCACTACCAATAATATTGTTACAGTAGTAGAAGAAGGCATATAGATATTCCCTGCGACCCGAGTGCCTGCTGTCATGGAACCCCAAGAATTTGTGCTATTTTGTCTTTCTTCTCAAAACAGGGGTCCCGCGATGGTCCCTTGGATGACCATTTTTGTTCGACCAACAGGTGGCTTGCAACGTCCATGATAATTCCAAGGACCATAACCGAATTCCATGTCGGGTTGGTGATGCCACAGGCCCCCGCAATGGCCCACAACATGGATCCGCTGGATGGAGCTGAAAAAAACTGGGTTTCGCCGGCGCCACCCACCTCCGTGGAACTCCTCAAGTACCTGGAGTACCCCATGCAAATTCCTGGAACTGCAAACTCCCAAAGATCTTCCTTGCCAATTCCTCCTCTTAAGATCCATAATTCCAATTCCAAGTCCTTTCCGCCCCGACTTCAGGCGATTTCCAGCTTGATCCATATCCTCCGTCATTGCATCGCATTTCATCTTCATTGGTCCTTGGAATTCGCTGGGTCCATCCCGGTCCGTCCCCGGTCTCTGTGAGATCAAACGCCTCCCGGTGCATGAGCAAACGCTCCTGTGAGATCCACGCCTCGGTCGAGAGGGCAGGTTCAGCTTCGCGGCCCCGCGGCCCGCCGTTTGGATCGGGGTTGGAACAAAACTGACGGGTGCTTAGTAAAGAATGAGGTAATGGATCCTATGGTATCTATAGTGAGAGGTCATTCTCGCATTCCCTACTAAGCACTAGTCAGAAAAGGGTTCAAGGAGAATGTGCACGAGAACATTCAGCTTTCAGCTCTCGATGTTGATGTCTTTTGCTATAGGTCAGGTACAAATACCAGCGAGCTATCTTGCCATTGAGCAAGCTTCGATGTCCGTTCCAAACCAATCTCGTGGCTGACGTTCTGGAATGCCCCGGGTCAACTCGTATGTCTGCCATCTGTCCGTCTTCTTTACCTGATGAAACCAACTTTCTACGCAAAAGGACACGTGCAACTACAATATACATCAATATACTACAATATTATGATATATTATGTAGCGCTTGAGCATCAACAGTTCGTTTGTGCTCTTTGGGGGCCCAGATGATCCCCACATTGACTCACGTTGACTCGGATTGTGGAAACATTCCAACCCCAAAATGGGAAATGGATGGGAATGGCTACATGGACCATGAAGCAACCATTTCATGCCATAGCACACCACGTGAGGCTCATGTGAATATTTCTGCATAGCCCGCTCCTACGGACCAAGCTCGTACCTCTTGTGCTTCTGGGTCTGGTCATCCAACGGCACACAAACGGCATCAACAGTCTCACACACCAAAACGTCTTGCGCTCACTTCCATAGCTCTTCATGATTCAGGCCGGTCGGTTTTCAAGTTGCTTTTTCTCTCAAACCATGTCCGTCCCATTCAGAAGCGACTTTCCAATCCATCCCCTCCCAGCCTTGTGGGGTCACCCCCCCACTTCCACACGTTTTTCAAGTAACTCCAGGACCCCCCCTGTCAGAAGTGGTGAATGGACACCCCAAGGACTCCATGGTGCTGGGACACACACTGCAGACAGTAACTTCGACTCAGCGGCCCAGGGCAGCAGCTTCGTCGACACTTCGGGCGCCACGTACATGGCCTGCACCAAGGTGTGCCGCAAACAGACCTCGTGCGCGTGCGCGTCACGTCGCGTCGCGGAACCGCGGGTCGGTGCGGAACGCGCGGAGGGCGTAGGTGGCGTAGGTGGAAATCCCAAGTGAGAACCATGTGGGTTGGGGAGTAAGTTCCTTGGAGCGCTCAGAACACAATTTTTACTCTTATTTCTTGAGTTGGCTGAGTTGACTACATGAAGTGAGGCCGAGCTCCATGACACTCAGTATTGGAGATTCTTAGCCAAAGCACCTCATACTAATACACTGGGGTGCCAAAAGTTGCGCTTCTTGACTTCTAAAACATCACAAACCCTTTCCCCTTAGAATCCTACGTGCAACATGTCGACACCTCAGTTGCGGTCAGATTTCCACACCTGAAAGCCTTATAAATATTATAAATTTAAACGGGTGTGGAAATCTGACCGTGCTGTACCTGCCACACAAAATGGACTTGTTAATCCGATCCGCTGTAGACCGCAAGTGTCATGTTGGAACAGAGTAACAAGCGTAAACTTTAGGGTTCTTGAAGGGTGCTGTTTGTGTTTTTAAGAAGGTGCTGAAATAACATAAGTTCCATAATTTTGAGATCAACTCGCTTGAAACATATTATATAACTTTGATTATATGTTTATTTGTTCTTAACTTTATTAACAGGACAACGTTAATGTCGAACCTGACAACATTTCTCATGATTAGTTGTAAGCACAAGGCTAATACCTAGTAATAACGCAGGGTGCTGTTTGTGTTTTTAAGAAGGTGCTGGAAATAACATAAGTT